CAAATCATGTTTAAAAATTTAATCGTTTAAACGATATTATAGTTATAACTATGAACAATCGATTAATAATCATTTATAAATAATATAATTATAACCAAGATTTACAAATAATGATTGTATTCATATTAGAAATTATATTTCATCATATTAAACGAGTTATTCAATCTATTCTACTTGTTTTTTCTTAATTAAACTATGGAAAATGTTTCGTTGAAAAGATGATAGATTAACTGTAGAGTTTCATAAATCGAATATCTATTGTTCGAATTGTTTATTATGTTAGAAATCGATATTTGTTGTCAACAAAATCAAACTAATTTGAATTATTTAGTCAAAACAAATAAAGATATAATAATCGAAATAATTTAATTAAACTAAATCTAATAAATTGAATAAAAAGATATAAAAAAAAAAGAAGAAAAGTGTTATTTTTTTTGTTAAAGTTGTTGTTTAAATGATTTATGTTCAAATGATGGAAGTATAATCGATAAATTATGTATGATGTATTGTTGTTCATCGAATATGTGTCGATTAATAATCGAACAACATTTAAAAAATGATTTATTTAAACGTCTTGATAAAAAAAGAAGATTTTTTTTCAATGAATTTAATTATTTGGAAACAATTCATGATATAAATCGTCAATATGATGAAATTGTTTTAACAAATAGTATAATTGATGAAAGAATTTTTTTAGAAAATAAATTTCAATTAAATGACTTATGTAATTCATTAAATGAAAATCAATATTCAAAATCGTCTCAAAATCTAACATCATCAACAGCAAGTCAACATATTACATCGAATGATTATCAAACAATTTCTTTTAATCAATATTTAACATTCATATCTCAAGCTAATCAATTAATTAAATTATTATATTCAATTGTTCAACAACAACAAACTTTTTTAGATTAATTTTTTTTTCTTTTTCTTTTTTTATCAAATCGAACATAAAATAAATTTGTTTTTCTTTCTCAGACCTTCATCATGTTTTTTCATCATCAGATTTTCTTAATCGAACTTTTAACTTTATCTTTTGCGTTTTTCCCCATTCATAC